GCAGGAAACTACAGAAGGTGCAGAATAGTATAAAAAGGGGAACGCGTGACTCCTGCAGAAGGATATTTACTTTTGTGCCTTTCTTCAATTCCCATAGTGGACTTTCAAACCGCTTAAATTTAAAAATCTGCTTTTTTGTGACCAGCAGGTGGCATGAAGGTTAAGGAGCTGCATCCCACATGGCCAACTTCAAGTTAAAATCTGGGACCCAGTGGCTCAGAAAACACACCAGGCACACGCGCGTGCGGGTCCGGAGTTCTGAGAGGAGAAGGGGGAAGGGAATACGGCGTGGCCATCCTCCTTCAGTGTGGGAGATTTCTTACCCCCTACCGCCCTGTTTCTCTCTGGCAAGCATACACATCCTATAGCAAAATAAATAACTGTAAAGATTATTTGCTTTGAGAAAGAAATGCATTACATTGGATTTAACAAAGCCTTAAGATGGGGACACAGTGCTAAAAAAAAAGGGATGTACAATTAGCCAACATTTGCCTTCTCTGGGCATAAAATAACAGACCGAAACTAAGAAAAGAAATGTTTAATGATTTGTTTCCCTTTTGAGAATTTCTTCAGAGTGCTCAAACCAAAGAAAATAACAACAGAACCTGCCTCTTCGGCGTGGGGTTGACTAACAGAGATGGAGTAGAGTAATATTCTCACTGTCATTGCTGTCTCTTCTGTCAGACTAGAGCCCTCTCAGGACTGCCAGGAGAGTGACGCAAACCCTTCATTTCCTCGTCTATGTAACAGATAACTGCACCGCGCTCACGGTTCTCAGGAGGACTATGGGCTTGTAGTACAGGGGCAGGGCCCATATGAAGCCTTAAGAGCACAGTAGTTGCTCTTGTTATTTTATATTCAGAGCAGTACAATACAATTCACTGTGACCTTTTTTTTTTTGGAGGGTTTGCTATAGGACGCATGCGCTCGCCAGACAGACAGAGAGACAGAAAGTGAGAAATCGCCTCCCAGCGGGGATGGTCACACTGCAATCCCTTCTCCTCCGTTCTCCTCTCGGGATCTTGGGCACACACGCACACGTGCCCGGCGTGAGTTTAAGCCACCGGGCCCAGGACTCGAACTGCGGTCGACTAAGTGGGAGTCCAGTGACATAGCCATTACACTAACTGCTGGTCCTGCGTGACCTTTTAATATCTAGATTGAGACCACAGATCTCTACTAAAGACAAGCAAATGTAGCCAAAACAACAAAAAAAGAACCAAATGAACTTCCAACATACTGTTTCCAGCAATCCATCAAATAATCATGAGATT